AGAGATGGGAGGGAGCAGATCTATGGGAAAGGAGTGAGGGAAAGCAAGGTACCCGGACAAGGAGGTTTGGATGCTAAGAGGACAGAAGCTGAGGCCATAGCCAGACTGACTTGTTCTTCTCCTTAAACAGAAGGCTGGTTACCCACTGAAAGAGTTAGAGCAGGGGCCTCAGGCTCCGAAAGAAGGTCGGAAACAGCTGCCCTGATGGAGGTGGTGGGGAGGCCATGAGGCATCACTGTAGGAATCCCAGACTGCAGAGTTTGGAAAACTGTCTCCTGGCCCAAGATTTAAAAAGTAATATTATAAAAACCTCAAAATATGGAGCTGTCATTTCCTTGCTGACCAAGGAGAACGTGAGAGCCTGCAGGGGCCTCATGTGTGGCCATCCTCGCTTCACAGAGCTTTGCAATGGTGGATAGCAGAGGCCCAGGTCTGCCTCTTTTAAAAGCAACATTTCCCAGATCCCCTTTTCCCACACCCACCACCCAAATAACAGATCTCTAGAGCCCTGTGGACCGCATAGCCCTGGATAGAGCATCAGCTGATTCAAGCCATTCCAAGACACACAGGAAAGAGTGGCTGTGGTCAAAAGGAAACCAAGATGAAGGGAATTGTCTGATGAGACTTGTAAGCAGACGAATGCAGGCAGAGTGTCCATGCCCTCATCCACTGGTTCATGTACACACACGCAGATGGAGGCCTGTGTGCTGTACACAATCGCACACACAGCCAGCCCAGCCTCCACTTGGCCTCCACACTTCTTCCCCTGGAGGTGATAAAGTGGAGGAACAAATCAGAGACCTAGTGTCATTCTTAACCCTGGGTAGTAGTTGCTTGCCAACTGAGATTACTCATCAAAATGATGCTTTTAAAGACTATCTTAATCAATAGGACTTGTAAAAATCTACACGGTGAACTTATTCCACTGAAGTATCACTAGTACCATCTGGCTTTGAACTCCTAATTCACTCATCTTTATGGGGAGCAGCTGCTGACTGTTACAGTTTTAGGGTCTCTTCCTCAATGGTGCAATTTCCAAGGGGAATCTCAAGCCTTTACAGAGGTAGCTTAGCAAAGCGGGGGAAGGCTCTGTGATGGGTGAAGAATCAGCCTCACTAATTCTCCAACAATGTTTAAACCAGGAAATGTTTTAAGCTTAACCTAGTGTTGTCTGCAAAGCAGTGATATATCAACACAGAATTTTCTATCTTGACTGGACATGTTGAAAACATTTTCATCTGTCCACTCATACGTGCATGTGTGTGTGTGTGTGTGTGTGTGTGTGTGTTTATAAAATGCATATATGTGTATAAGATCCAGGTGCCTATGCACACATGCTGTGTTTAGTTCTTACAGCAGACAACTAATTTGAACTCTTTGGATACATCATCTTCACTTCTAATGACCAGTTACCAGCAGTTCGCTCTGCTCTGCTTTCCTGCAGGGTGACTAATTAATAAACTTTTCCTTAATTGAGTTCTGGCTCCCAGGTCCAAGGGGATTATTACTTACATATAAGTAAACAAAATTTCCATTTTAAACAATGCTCCAAATCTCCTCATTATATTTTAAACAGATATAAATTCACTGAGGTCAAGCAAGCCGCAGGCTAGGAGGCTGTGAGCATTCTGGCCTAAATTCTCTTCCTCACAGGAAGCCAGGTGCTGTGGCAGGCAGGTGATGACCCCAGATCCTTCAGGGCTTACCCCATCATCAGCCTCGATGCTGCACTTTCTTTGTTCTCATCTACAGCCATGTTAGAAAATAACTATCGAGGTTCTGGAAGCCATTAATAGTATCTGCCTTTTCTTTAAACCAGAATTTATTATTTAAAAGCCATTCACTTCCACAATTTATGAACAGGAAGAAAATGAATTTGATGTTAAACATTTAATAAGTGCCCAGGATTTGATAGGGGCTGACTTGGGTGGATGGTTGGTTTTAAGGAGTGTCCTGCTGTTGCTTCTGCTAAGTCACTTCAGTCGTGTTTGACTCTGTGCGACCCCATAGATGGCAGCCCACCAGGCTCCTCTGTCCCTGGGATTCTCCAGGCAAGAATACTGGAGTGGGTTGCCATTTTCTTCTCCAATGCATGCATGCATGCATGCTAAGTCACTTCAGTCGTGTCTGACTCTGTGCGACCCTATGGATAGCAGCCCACCAGGCTCCTCTGTCCACGGGATTCTCTAGACAAGAATAGTGGAGTGGGTTGCTATTTCCTTCCCCTAGCCTACACTTTTTGGAAGTTGAACGCTAAGTTCTTAGAGTTCAAATAATTTAATCAACTGTTTCTTTGTTGTCAAGATTCCTCCCTACTTTCAGATTCCAAATTGAGAGCAGACCCATGAAAGGAAGTGAAAAACTGACAACAAAGTTGCTTTAACTTGGTTTGAAACCTAGAAGGAGGAGATTATCCTTCCTCCAGAGCTTTTCTGCTCAGAGACATTTGGAAGCTATTTGGCTCCAGATCCAGATCTTCAGTAAGTCACCCTTTGCTGACAGTACAAGAATCCACTGTAAACTTTGATTACAATGATTACTGGCTGCTTAAAATAAATATTTTTTTCAGACTCCCCACATTCATGCTGCTAAGATAGAACCCAGAAAAATCAGCGAGGGCAGGATCTAAAGCCAGCTCCCAGATTGTTAGGAGACCTGTGGATAAAGCTCTGTTAGAGAATTTAAAGGTCTGGATCACTTCATCCCTACCCTAATTCCTTGTCTCCTTCTTTTTTAGCAAGTTATTCTAAATGGAAATACTATTCATAATGTGAGCCCTCCACTGAAAATCAATCTCCCCTGAAAGACTCGTATTCTAAAGATTTTGCTAATCCCCAGCCAGACCTGTATCACCATCACTGGTTGTCAAGAGTGATCTATATTCAGCTGACGGACGACATATCTCCTCGGGTGCAAGTGAGGGCCAGTACATCTGGATTCCTGGGCAGCAGCCAGTATAAGTAGCCAAGGCTGTGGGTCCAAGCCTGGATTAGTGGAACTCTGGCCCCAGCAACAATATCTAGCAAGATTTTAGCCGCAGGACTACACAATCCCATAATAGGGAAGAGGGGGCGGGGCACATCTCTGGGCCCAGTTAAAACTAAAGGAGCAGGCAGCAAGAAAAATGAATGACTGATCCATGCGGCTACAAGGATGCATCTCAAATGCACTGCAGCATGCTCAGTCACTCAGTCTTTTCCGACTCTTTCGCAGTCCCGTGGGCGGTAGCCCGCCAGGCTCCTCTGTCCATGAAATTCTCCAGGCACGAATACTGGAGTGGTTTGTCATTTCCTTCTGCAGGGGATCTTCCAAACCCAAGGATCGACCCCCATCTCTTGCGTCTCCTGCATTGGCAGGCAGATTCCTTACTGCTGAGCTACCTGGTAAGCCCCTCCAATGCATTATATTAAATGAAAGAAGCCAGACACAAAAGGGCCACACATGGACCACATGATTCCATTTAGGTGATATTCTGGACGAAGGCAAGACTATAAGGAGAAGAATCTGATCATGGGCTGGGGAGGGGCTGACTGCTAGGGCTAGAGGGACTTTTCTCTACCCCTTTGCTGTCTATCTTGATAGTGGTGGTGGTGGTTACATGACTGAATGTATTTGCCAACATTTATTTAACAATATACAAAGAGGGTAATTTTTACTGAATTTAAGTTATATCTCATAAACCTGAACTAAACAACAATTAAGGAATAGGAACAATAACAGAAGACTGGACCAACAATGGCATTGAGATGGGAGGAGGAGGGAGCTTCCACTTCCCTTAAGCGGAAAGGGGGAATGGAAGCCCCCTACAGCTGCCTCCAGCAGAACCAGTTTCCAACTCTTTGGGCAACAGGGAGCCCAAATTGGGGGCCCATTCACAGGTCGAGGCTGCATGTCTTAATGCCAGGTTCTATGGAATTTGGTTAGTTGGTTGTCTCCCATTATAGTCAATTAGCTCCACAACTTCTAGACACCAGAGTTAGGCTCCTAACTCAGGGCTTTTGTTTGTCTTTCTGGCATTCAGTGTCCTTGAGGCAATCATTCCGAGAGTGCTGGGGGCCAACTGCGTGGGTTTTGAAAAGCCCTGTAGAAGTGGACAGAGAGCTGCTGCTATTTGGCCAGCCAAGTGTTGGGTCAATGGACTTGCCTTAGAAAAGCCCAGTGAGGTCAATGGACTACTTTGCCCACAGTCCAGGGTTCCACCTGAGACACTCAGCTGAGTGCTGGCACTTAGCTTCTGAGCACGGAGTATATACTACTTGGCAGACAAAGATTGGAATGATGCAGTGCTGGCTTTGAAAACAGCCAAAAGGGGATCCTGTAAGTACAGAGTTGGGTTCCTGGCAGGGCAGCTTGCTCACAGAGCATGTCCCGGGCATAGGTGTTTACAGAGAAATGTCACCGCTGGGCATTACCTGAGGGAGGGAGGCAGCCAGGATCTGGTTAGCTATTCAAAAGTCTGATTCATAGTCTATTTTAAAAACATGGTTTTGTTTCTTCTGGGTTCATAGAGTGGATTCAAGCTAATGATTAGTAACATAGTCAGGGTGCTTGGTAGACATGTTGGTCTTTCATGATGAGCACTTACATGGTTTATGAACAAAAATATACTATGAAGCAGTTGTTTTCTTTACTAAAGTTTGTTCTCTCACGTTCCCATGGCAATTACACGTGTAAATTATCTTTAGCAAGCGAGCCCTTTTCTCTTGGATGTTCAAAAGCAAAGGTCAGCACAGACTGGTGAGATTGTACTACATTTCTTTTTTAAAAATTCATTTACTTGATATCTTCTTTTTAGCTGGTCCCCAAGACATGTGAAATCTTGGTTTTCCCACCAGGGATCAAATCCCATGTTCCCTGCACTGGAAGTGCAGAGTCTTAACCACTGGACCACCGGGTAAGGGCTTAGATTGTGATATGTTTTAAAAGGCCCCGGGGCTGCCCTGGAGGAGAGCCTTCTCCCCAGGGAGGGCAAGGAGGAGGGGGGGTAGAGGCGGACTTACTTCCCCCCTTGCCGCTCTTCTCCATGCGGTACTGGTAGATATGCAGTGTGAAGAGCATGTGCGAGTTGCGGAGGTCATCCTCATCACAGTCTTGCTGGTTGCCCCGCCGGGAGGCAATGGCCGCATCCAGGAAGAAGGCAGCCTTCTCCGCGGTGGGTGCCCGCAGCTCGCTCTGGTTCTGCAACTGCAAGACACAAGGGAAGGGCTGATGCTGCGGGCGAGAGGGCTCACCTGCCACTCAGGCTGGCTGTCCCTTCCCCACTGTCCAAGGCTGATGTCCTTCTGGAACTAGGGCCCATGCCCATGTGCAATTCTCAGCCTAATTTATTCATATCTGAAAATTACCCTAAGCATGCTTATTGGAGAAGAATATTTTTACCCTTTTTTTTACAATGTAAGTAGAATCTGTAAGTTGTTCTTGTTGTTTGGTTGCTAAGTCGTGTCTGCCCTCTTGTGACCCCATGGACTGTAGCCCGCCAGGCTCCTCTGTCCGGGGGATTTTCCAGGCAAGAATACTGGAGTGGGTTGCCATTTCCTCCTCCAGGGGATCTTCCTGATCCAAGGATTGAACCTGAGTCTTCTGTATTGGCAGCAGATTCTTTACTGCTGAGCCACCAGGGAAGTGCAGAATCTGTAAGTAGCAGCTGTGAAAAATAAATGGTTTTATCTCAGTGTTTAGTGGGAGCAAGTGTCCCACCCTAACCTCTGCAGAGCCCAGCAAACCCAACATCCTGGGTAATCCATGTACCTAAGGGAACATGTGGGATGTGACTGCATCTTGAGCTCAAAGATTAGATTGTATAGAAGCAGGTAATCCAGAGAGTACTGTATCTCAAAAAAGTGAAAAAACTTACTTGGCTTTAACTTGACTCTCAACTTTTCCAGCTATTTAATTAAAGTCAATTTTAGGCCACATTTACTAGAATAGTTCTAAAGAAGTAAATGTAAAAGATATGAAGAAAGAAAAACCCAAGATACTTGAATGTCTCATCTATATCATTTGTCTCATCTAAAGGGATATCTACTTTATCTTTAGTTTCTAAATTATGTTCAAGGCATACTCATTAATTGATTAAAGAAGCATCAGGGGGAATGTATCTAAATCCTATGAGATGCCTTGGCAATTATATTGACAGTAAATCTGACTCAGAGCAATATTATCAGCATTTGACCTGCATTTCTTTATCAAGGGAGGGGAAGAAAAGGAAACTAATATTTCTGATTTGTTCAAAGAAATGATTTGAAGTACAAGCCTTAGGGTTAGTAGAAATTTTGACAGTTTTGCTGACAAAGGTCCATAGAGTCAAAGCTATGTTTTTTCTAGTAGTCATATACAGTTGTGAGAATTGGACCATAAAGAAAGCTGAGTGTTGAAGAATTGATGTTTTGAACTGTGGTGTTGGAGAAGACTCTTGAGAGTCTCTTGGACTGCAAGGAGATCAAACCAGTTAATCCTAAAGAAATCAGTCCTGAATATTCATTGGAAGGACTGATGCTAAAGTTGAAGCCCAATACTTTGGTCCCCTGATGTGAAGAACTGACTCATTAGAAAAGTCCCTGATGCTGGGAAAGATTGAAGGCAGGAGGAGGAGGGGACAGCAGAGGATGAGAGGGTTGGATGGCATCACTGACTCAATGGACATGAGTTTGAGCAAGCTCCAGGAGATAGTGAAGAACAGGGAAGCCTGGCGTGCTGTAGTCCATGGTATCAAAAATAGTCGGGAATGACTGAGCGACTGAACTGAATTGAACTGATTCTGACTCTAACTGCACCCATAATTCTGAACTGAGAGAGTTGATATTTAGAACCTGAGGCCACCAAAATCCTCAGACTTCAAAGACAGGTTCTCTTGTGCTCATTGTTTTATACTTACTATTGCAGAAAAATAACCCAAAGAATGTTTAATATTCTTCAGCAAGAAGGTAAAGAGGATATGGGTCTTGTCCTCTTCTTCTTAGTTTTCAGTTAATCAGAGCTTCCACCTCTGTGGAACTCCATTATTGATGTTATAAAAGTGAATGGAGGTTATAGCATAGTTGAACGTCTAGGTAATGCTTAGAGTGGGAACAGTGCGTGGGGTCACACCAAATCCGTCACAGGTGCTGTGTAGGTGAAGTCTGAGCACATCTTATGCTTCCAACTGGTGGTTCTCAAAGTGTAGTCCCCAGACCAGCAACATCAGTATAATATAGAAACTTGTTATAAATGCGTGTTTCAGGGCTTTATTCCAGGCCTACTGAATCAGAAATTCTAGAGGTGGAGCCCAGCAATCTGTGTTTTAACAAGTCTTCCAGGCGACTCTGATGAAGACTGAAGTTTGAGAACCACTGCATTAAGGTTTGTATGACCACTTAGCTTGCATTGTATTTAGGTTTCGTATCCAAATAATATCTGATGCATCATTAAAACTATGAAGAGCCAATTTTAGTCAGACATGGTACAGACCTTTGGGCATTGCTGAGAACTAACCAGGCGATCACAAGTGACAGTCAGCAGAAACATCCAAGAGGGCTTCCTGGAAGAAGTGACATCTAGCAAATACACCCAAATAAGGAGTAAGCCAGATGAAGAGCAAGAGCAGAGGAGCAGGCACTGTTCTATGCACAGGGAATAGAATTTGCAAAGGCCCAGAGTAAGAGGGAGGATGATTGATGCCTTAGAGTCTTGCTACTGAGAGTGCAGTCAGTCATTGGGAAGCTTGTTAGAAATGCATGATCAGGGGCCCAATCCCAGAACTTCGGAACCAGAATCTGCATTTTAACAAGATCCTCAGGGCTTCTTATGCACATTAAAGTTTGAGAGTCACTGCTTTCTGAGGTGATGTAAATAAATTTAAGAAGAGTGGCAAGAGGGAAAGTGGGAATAGGTGATCCTGGAAGGTCACGTAAGGCTATGTGAATCACGAGGATGCACAATGGAAGCAGGAGGATCTCAGGTGCTTTAAGCAGGGCAAGCACATGGACAGGTATGAGAAGATGGGGTAATAGAGGGGGTACCTTCACTCGAGACAATAGTCCCACTTGAGATGAGACAAGTATTATACTTATCAAAATGAACACATCTAACATGGAGGCATCTGATAAAACTGAAACTAAAGCTTACTGCTAGAGACTGAAAGAAGTGATTATTCTGGGTGTGAACCAGGAACCTCCCAGGTCATTCCTGCATCCATCATCAAACAAACGAGGTAGAAACACTTTGAACAGGCATGACATCCTGAAGAGGTGAACTGGAACTTCTCTTGGCTTAGCAATTATATCATGGTTCTAATTAGAAAGTGGTTATTAGTTTTTCCTACAGCACCACTAATCCGGCTGTAAACCAGTGCCAGAAACACAGTTTATAGAGCCGTAAACAGTCCCAGTAATGGCTGGAGCTATTTGTGCAAAGCAGTAAATATTTCGGCTTGTTGTTAAACAAAAGAAAGATTGTACTTTTTTTTTTTTTGGAAAGGGGTGTAAAGAAAAGTGAATTCAATTTCCCCTGATTGCTACAACAATTGTGGTCCCTGCTCATTGTCAATTAGATTCAAGGTACAAATATTTAGGTTGGGCGAGCAGCTGGCCCCGCAGCTGCAAGCCATAAAGTTCCAGTCCACTTTAAAGTAAACACTTGCAAGCCTCCCCAGTTTACATGTTGAGTGAGTCAAGAGGTGAAGTGCCCCAGCCGCTGAGGTAGAGATGAGCCACCCGGAGCCGACCAAGCCCCCGGAAGCAATCACCTGCGTGCCACAGATGGGGTCCTCGCACAGGTACACGCCGGGGGACTGGCCGTCCTGCAGGCTGCCCGTGGCCACCTCCGACAGCAGGTCCCGAAGGTTCTCTTCTTTACCCCACACCTCCACAGCTGAGATCCGCACCGAAAAACGTGCTCCAGTCTTTTCTTTCCGTTCGTTGATCAGTTTGAAGAGCCAAGAGATGGCACAGGGGATGATGCCCAGGTTTTGCATGGAGTCGTCTTTGCCGATCATGGTGTAGGACTTTCCTGGGAGGGCGAGGGAAGAAAGAATAGCAGCTTGAGTGTCTGGACATCATTCTGTAGTCTCAAGAATAGATGCCAAGGATGCAGGAGAAAGGCCTGGGGAGTAGGGAATGGGAAGAAAGGAAATGAAAAGATGAAAAATATTCAACAATAACAACAAAACTTTGACAGCAACAATAAAGAAGACATTTCCAGGTACTATTGATGGAAGGGCTATAATAAAGAATGTGAGAACCTATACTGATGTCAAGGTTAAATCACAACTGACCTCAAGGAAGATCCCAAACATTACAAGCTGTCCAGTTTCCACATTGTTTTCCTCACAATGGGAAGGCTAGAGGTGTTTCATCACCATTATGGGTCTTTTTATCACACCCCACAGATTCACTCCACATACTTACACTTTGTATCCTTTCTCAAGTTAAATGCTCTGTGTACTTTCATAGCATGAGCAAATTCCCTTTAAAATCTGGATCACTGCTTTGATCAGAGATCAAGAAGACCAAAGTGGTAGTGAGATGAAATGGGCTTTCCATCCTGGCCTAGAACTGGCTCCATCATAGCAAAGTTGCTGTTGGGAGCTCTGCCCAGGGCCATTTTTTGGAACACCCCAAATTACTAACTTATCAAGCATGACAGGTAAGACCTGGTAAGCAGATGGCCATGGGTCAGGATTAAGAAGGCACCTCAGGGGGATTCAGTCATCAGGACCTCACAGAGCTGTGTGGAGGCCTCCTTTCCCAGGTGCTTCAGCACAGGTGGATTCCCGACCACTGGGTGGTGGGAAGCAGGGTTGCTGCCAGACTAATCCCCACAGACAGGGGCTAATGGGGTCTGGGCTTTGCTCGGCGGCTGCTCCTCTGGCTTTATGTAGAATCCAAGAGGAAAGGGGGGCCCTCTCTGCTCCCCAACAACCCCTACTCAGAAAATGTAATTTTCCTGCTGGTTTTCTGGGCGTGACCCTGACCCAGACCAAGTGGGAACAGCCCTTTGTTCATCTCCTGGACTTTAAGGCTTTACTAGATGCCTGGGAATCCACTTAGGGTGAACATCTACATTTCAGAAGCAGAAATGGTTATTCATGATTATTCAGTTCAGCACTGCAGGAAAACACCTTGCCCTTCATCTGAGGACAATACAGAAGGAAGGATGAAGTAATGGGGAAGCAAGCAGCATGAAGAAGCGAAGATCTCACTGACCCAGCTTGGCGTGGCCGAAACAGAACACACAGCCATCTGCCCCGTTGACCACAGACTGGATCACTTCTGCCACGGTTCCAGCACACACTTCAGCCTGGCGGACGCAAGAGGAGACACAAGTTGTGAGTGGACCATTAACAATGGAAGCTTGTGCTTGCTTTCCTGAGGCTCAGGGTCACAAAGCCTTGGCATTTTCAGATCGGTCGGCTCTAATGGACTTCTAGAGGTTCTCAGAACCCTTCATACTTCCCGGTCCCTTGCAAGCCTGAGTGTTACACTCATTACATGCAAACTACCCTTCTGCTAATCGTACATTTCACTTGCTGTCTCTGCAGACAAGGCAGGAACAGGCTGGAATGGGAATCCAGGGTGCCTTCAAGGACCTCACACCCTTCTCTGATTTGCCATTCTGGCCTCTTGTACAAATATTTAAATTTTCCATTCACCCTCTGCTAACTAGATCTTTCCTTTCTTTCACGCACACACACACACACACACACACACATTTATGAAATGGATTAGGCTTTATTAGAGAGTAAAAGATGATGTGCCATTTCAGGAAAGTGACCTTGAGATACATTATAGTTCTAATATAAGCAGGAGGTTAATGATGGATGTCTGCTTTGTCTACCTAACTCCCTCCTCTTTCTCTATCTCCATCCTTCCCTTTTCAAAACCAGCTTTTTCTTTCTTTCTCTATAGATACACTCAACGTATACATTATTAATCACCATCAGTCAGTATATTACAATGGGTTTTCTTCAGCCTTTTATGTCTCTCATCTCCAATGTGACTATTAAATCTTTAGATAGAGACCAGGCTCTTGGTGACTTTTGGTATTTACCCATTAACACCCAATAATACAGCAGTCTGCAAATGATAAAAAAAAAAGTACATTTTATGAACTGATTTGGGGATCTGGGAAATCCCTCTGGTTAGCATCCAAGGCTTTCACAGCAGCGAGAGGGCAAATCACTGGACATGTACTGCACCTTCTTTTCTGCCTCAGCATCGAGGCGGATCTGGAAGCAGTCGGAGGACATGCAAACTGAGAGCTCCACGGGCATCAGAGCAACATGCCTCCTAGTGGGAATCTGAGAACTGCAGCCTCAGCAATGAATGCAGTTATTCAACTCCAGGTTGCAGCAACACAATGAACCTAAGTATTCAAAAATCAATTTTCTCTCCTGAACTGAAATGGAAAAACCACACTCCCAACAATTGTCAACTGTTCTAGTGGTCACCTCGGCAGCTCTGCTGGGGGCTCCCACTCAACGAAGGCGGTAGCTAGACAAGGCTGCGGTGGGGACCACAGGCTCTGTCTCACCCCCAGGGCCTAAGCAATGAGAGCCCAGTGCCAAACCCTGAGATGGAGGCAGTGGAAACTTGATGGAATTTGCTAACGTGCCTCTGCAGGACTGGGAGAAGTTACCACCAAATGAATCCTGCCTTCCTTGGATATGAAGTGAGATGGGATCTACGAGGTTGAGAGCCCACCTAGAGCCATACATAAAATAAACCATATTAGGCTCAAGATCAGAAAAGAGAAAGATGCTTGAATGTGAGCCAAATCCACACATATCCCTGACTCCCCTGTCCAAAGGCCAGAGGACAGAGATACAGGAGCGGCCTCACAGGGCACAGGGTGGGGAGGCAAGTGTCCCCGTGCAGAATTCCTGCCCAGTGTTCACTGAGAAGAGAATGCTCAGCAACATGTCCATCTGGTGTTTGTTAGGAGCTGATCATGGTCCTTGGAGGCCCTTTGCTGTCTTCCCCCTTGAACCGAGAGAGGCAGGAGCCTTCCCAAGCAGACTCCGTGTGCTGGGCTGGGTTCCCCACAAGCAAGTCTCAGTTTCCCCACCCACCCTTCCTGGTGATGACAATGTTTGTGTTCCCCTTCCTCACCCAAGTTCATATGTTGTAACCAAATGTTCAATGTGATGGTATTTGAAGGTGGAGCCTTTGGTAGTTGATAAGTCATGAGGGTGGAGCCCTTGTAGATAGGATTAGTGCCCTTATAAAAGAGGCCCCAGAGAACTCTCCTGCTCATCCCACAATGTAAGGATGTATGGAGAAGATAGCTGTCTATGAATCAAGAAGCACTCCTCACCACACATTGTAACTGTCAGCTCCTTGATCTTCCAACCTTCAGAACTAAGACATAAATTTCTGTTGCCTATAAGACAGCCAATCTGTGCTGTTTCACTAAGAGGGTACAAATGGACTAAGACACCTCCCAAAAGCTGGACCCAGCAGAGGTCTGCCCCAGCAATGGGCAACTGATGACTGCCAAGCCCACTTGAGGGTATTGAGGGTGGCTTATAAGGAGGAGCTAGGGCTGTTCTAATCACTGCTTAGCTTCAGGAATCTGATGTCTTTAGAGACCCAGTGAAAGCAAAGCTCATGACTGCTTTGGGCCACTGTGGTGGCTGCTGCTTCACAGGATAACCACAAGGGCCTGAGAGCAGAGGCCCATTTGGCACACTTTCCTGCTTTCCCATTTCAGAGGCTTAAAGGGTGTTCCCTCATGGGGGCTGAGGCTGGCCAAGCCAGCAACCTGATATCACTATTAACAATGACAACAGAATAGTAAAAATAGCATTTATTGGACACTCACTACGTCTGGGCTCTGCTCTAAGCACCTCATGTATATCCAAGCAGTGAATCACAGCAACCGCCATGAGGCATATTTTGATCTTGTTTTCATTTTATGGTTGAGCAGACTGAGGCCCAGAGAGGTGGAGTGACTTGCCCAAGGACACATTGCTAGTAAATAGTGAATAAAATAGCGGGAGGACAAAGATATAACACCATACTGAGCAGAACATGAATTGTTTCCTAGGAAGAATCCAGGATGAATGTCCACCCAGGAAAGGGTCTATGAATGAGAGACTGAATTTTTAAGTCTCAGTTTCCTTGTCTGTAATGTGAAAATAGCAATACCCCCCTTTCCAATACCACTGGATTCCAGGGAGAGTTTGAGTGGGTTAATGTACATGAAACTTCTTGAAAACTGCAAATGTATTAATTCATTTACTATATTAGAGTTGTAACAGAATCAAAGCATGCTGAAGTGAGTGCAACTGTCAGAGTGAGCACATGAGCCCTGGAACCAAGTGTGAAATGTAAGCAAAGACTAGCAATAAAAAGATGGCTCCCTTTTCCAGAATAAATCTAAAACTCATTAATAGGCCACACTTAATTTAGGGTTTGCTTTGGAATTCTTATGACTTACGGAGATTTGCTTTTGAAAAGTTGTAGCTTAATTAAATTATTTGTAGGTCATTTATTAGACCCAATGTCAGGTTTAGATTAGTGAGCCCATTGGGTAGTAGAACACACAAGAAATGTAATGAAGAGAGAAACTATAGAACTTATTCATAAAGTACTTCATCTTTTCATGGTAAAACTCTTTGGGGAAACCACATACTCGGCTTGTAAATGAATGGAGCCTATAATATGTGCTAAGTGCTTATGGTGTAATATAGGCGCATGTGTGAATATCACTACTTCCTACCCTCAGATGCCACATGGAGGAAATTAACAGGAGCTGCAAATGGCAGCCATCAGCACCCTGTCTTCAGGTTCTGCTCTAGGCTATTAGTTACCTGATTGTACATTGTTTTGTATAAATCTTGGGAAGTGCTGGAAATTTATCAGGAAGGTGCAGGTGTCTGATGCCAAAATGCAGGCAAAGTAGGCCACTGTACACCTATAACCTGGGTTACAGATGTCTACTACAAGATCCAGTGCACCAATTCATGGCAGATAAATTGCACCAGATGGTGTAAGTGGATCTTCTAGTAGACATCTGTTCTTACTGGGATGGGTTCCAGGAGCTTTGGTTAAGGAATCTTGGCACCCTGGGCCCCCAAGAAGCCTCCAAATTATACTCATAACTGAACAATGAAAATGGCCACAATTCTCCACCCCTCTCTACGTGTTTTCCCCTTGCAATGTGACTCTGCAGCTCCTCCAATCAGGAGGCAGAGCCTCTTCCCACCCCTCAAATTTTGACCAATCAAATTCAGCAAAAGGGACGATGTGTCAGTTCTGAGCCTAAGACCACAAGAGGCCTGCAAGCTTGGATCCTATCACTGCCATGACAGCAAGCCCAAGATAGTCTGCTGGTTGATAAGAGACAGCATGGAAGACAGACCAAGTGAGCTGGCCAGTGCCACTCTGGACCAGCCTAAAGCTGGCCAACCCTCAAACATGTGATAGCATCCAGCCAAGATCAATGGAGTTCCTGACCCAAACCAGAGTTGATCTCTGACGAACAGGTGTGCCAAGCTAGGTATAGAGGAATGTTCAGCTGACCCACAGACTCATGAGTGATAATAAATTATTCCTGTTTTAATCTACTAGGTTTAGAGCAGTTTGTAATGCAGCAAGAGCTATCCCTAGCCTGACCCAGGCCACAGGACTGCATGACAGCCTCAATTTCTCTGCCTAGCACTCCAGGTCCTCACTAGGACTACCCTCTATGGAGCTGGAGAACCCTGCCTAATTCTAACCCAGCTCCTTGAAACACCTTTTCTCTTCTTATAGGCTCACACCCAGAAGCCCAGGCAGAGACACATTCCTCGTGGTCCACTGCAGATATCCAGGCAGAAGTGGGGTCCCAATGGACCAGTTGCCAGCACCTTGATGCAGCTGTTCCTGAAACTTCCAATTTGGCCTGCTCCCTTCCTGCTCCTGTTTGCCACCCACTGATTGGCTCACTCTTCCTTCTCTCCAAGAGTATGTTCTGCTGAAATCCTGGCACAGCCTTCTCAAGGTATGACACCAACCATTCAAAACGACTGAACTAGTCAATGGGACTCAAACTGACTTGCAAGCGTTGTTGTGTGGACAGTGGAACAGACCCAACAGACTGCTCTGGAAGGCAGCTCTTGGGTCCTAGTGAAGAATTACAGATTCTTGAAACTAATCAATGCTTCCCAAAACTGAGGAGGGGTTATACACACCTGAGAAGCATCTTGTGGAAAAACCGCATCAAAGGCAAACATCTTAGGAGGAACTTGGTTCCCTCTCTTTGGGAAGGCATTTAGACCTCCACATGTCAGGGGGTCATACAAGGTGATTTGCTTCTTCCGTGGGTCCACCTTTAAGAAAGAGCTGGATTCTGAGGTATCGCGAGCCAGCGTGGAACAGATTCGAAGCATGACTTTCACCTGTTAAGAAACAAAGGCAGGAAATGACAGGCATTAAGACACTTGGATACTTTATGATGGAGTACTTTTATGTCCTTTGGAGACACAAGTGTATATGGCAGTGTGGAATTGTCTCATGACAAATAATGATAAAATGCACAATGAATTAGCAACATAATCCTCAGCAGGTCATGGGAAAACTGACTTATTTATAATTACCAGGTAGAATATTTTGATACATCCGTTACTTTATTACAGAACTGGCACATCACGCTCTTTGTCTTCCTATTAATATAAATAGAAAGTTAACTGTACCCAGGTGGCCCAATTACTTAGATGGAAAGGTAATCTGGATTGCCACACTTTGGGGGCTAGTATAGTTCCCTTGAAGCTCGCAGATCAATAAACCCTGGACATAAAAGTTAGCTCTGTAATTTACTCCTTGTCTCTTGCACATCAGGACTCTTAGAGACAAAAACCCACAGTTATTAGTGTCATCATTAGAGCCCTGTGAAAATGGCTTGTTTTTAATGACCAGCATTTGAAATGTGTTCCAAGGGGCAAAAGTGATAAAAGATTTGTTTGAAACATGTTATTTGGGATCCCATTAAGTGAGTGCATAGAAATGGTCATTTCAGTGGATGAAAGCACATCTCTGTGGGAAACAGGAGGCAGCACTCCTTTAACCCGCCTCTTAAGTCATCGAACGTGGACATTTCTAGTGCTCAGTCCAGCCGAGTCCCACCCCAGGGCTGAGCAGGGCACTTGTGGGAATGGACTGCTTGCCCTGGACTCTCTGAGTTGAGCAGAAGTCAAGCTGAAGCCTCACGCACAGTTCTGGAGGCTCAAGTCCTGAGGAAATGGCAGCATTTCCTCCCTTACCAGCTATTTGTTACCGTGGAGCTAGTTCAGTCCAAACATGTGAGCACCTAACCTAGGAGCCAGGCACTGGGGCTGCAAAGACCATAATATGGTCTTCTTTGCAAAGACTAGCAGGGCAGACAGACACAAAGACAGGGGATTTTTTTAACACAAGGAGGCAAATTCTGATGTTACAAACAGGGTTACTTTTATTATTTAAATTTATATATTTATTTAATTGGCTGTGTTGTATGGAATGTGGGATCTTCATTCCCTGACCAGGGATTGAACCCACGCCCCTTGCATTGGCTTTGTTGCAATTGGAAGCTTAGAGTCTTAACTACTGCTGGATCATCAGGGAAGTCCCACAACAGGATTATTTTTGAACTCCTCTCTACATCATGCCCTCTTCATCTAATCAATGTTCAGACCTGATGAAATCTCAATCATCAATTTTGGGGAAAAGGACTGTAAAATTTTACATCAAAGATTTCAAGCATACAGAAACGCTCAGAGAATACTCTCCACTGTGCCTAGAGAGTGAGGACATCCTCCTGCTTATCTCAGCCTGTCTGCTGAGGCATAGGAACTCATCTGCAGTGAGCAAAGCTGAAACGTCAAGAACTCCTAGGGCACTCGACTCATCGGATGTCCTGCATCCTGTCCTGGCTGGGCTTGTTCTTATCACTTAAGAATAGTACTCTAGTGCGGATCCAGAGGCTGTGTTCATAGTGGAAGAGGGCAAGGCTGGGATGAAGCTGACCTCTCACAGTCAAATCTCTGTTCTCCCACTGAGGTCATATAATTTTGCTGCTCTTGTTCAGTCACTAAGATGACTCTTTGCAACCCCATGGACTGCAGTAAACCAGGCTTCTCTGTTCTCCACAATGTCCCAGAGTTTGCTCAGATTCATGTTCATTGAGTTGGTGATGCTACCTAACCCTCTCATCCTCTGCCACCCTCTTCTCCTTTTGCCTTCAGTCTTTCCCAGCATCAGGGTCTTTTCCAATGAGTCACCTGAGCATGAAGATTGAGCGCTTTCAAATTGTGGTGCTGGAGAAGACTCTTGAGCATCCCTTGGACAGCAAGGAGATCAAATCAGTCAATCCTAAAGGTAATCAACCCTGAATATTCATTGGAAGGACTGATGCTGAAGCTCCAATGCTTTGCTACCTGATGGGAAGAGTCAACTCACTGGGAGGTCATGTAATGGTACCCGCCTTTTGCTGAGGGTCTGTGGTATGCTAAGACTGTGCTATTGCCAATGGTATCTTACTTAACCCTCTCAATAGGCCTGTGCATAGGTGGACTTGTCCAAATTTTATAGATGAGAAAACAGATGTTACAGAACTTGCGGGTGGTATGGCTGAGCTCTGATCCCACGTCTGTCTGACTCTAAAACCCTGGAAAGTTGGCTGAGCTCTGATCCCACCTCTGTCTGACTCTAAAACCCTGGAAAGTATCCAATCCTTACTTTTTTTCCATTATGCCAACTACTGCCTCCCAAACACAGTCAAACCTCTCAGAGCCTCAGTTTTCTCAACTGCATATTAGGAATAACAATGCCTATCTCATGGAACTGTTGTGAGAATGAAGTGAATTGACATGTGAAGTACTGAGCACAGAGTAGGGGCCTGATTCCTGTTTCTCCTCCTCCTTCCTCTTCTCCTCCTCCTCATCCCCCCCACCTCTTCTGCCTCCCCTCCCCCTCCTGCCTGTACTTGCCCCCCTCTGAATCACGATATTCTAGCATTTTCCAACCACAGTGTGAATGATAAGGTTTTAGAACACTTTGTCCTGGACTCAAAAAGGATGCCACGGGGGAATCACTGCAGATGGAGCTGGGTATGAAGTGCTGGGCCTTACAAGGCTCCCATCAGTAAAACACCATCTAGTCTCATACATAGTCAACGTGTATATGACAATAACCATCACGTCTGTCTACATTCCATTCTGGCAATTTTCTTGTTCACCGTGAATGTCTCCAATCTTATTTCAGTTCCACTCAGGTCTACAGATTTGCCCCACTTACACAGCAGGTGTGCTAAGAGCACGTATTCAAATTGCAACTTTCGGTAGGTGCCTGGTGCCTCTGGGCTTTCTGTCAGACAACCTCCTAACCCAGCCCCTGAATGCTACAAGTCAGGGATGTTGCAACCTCAGGCAGAACTGATGGAGTCACATGGCCCACTGCTTTTCTATTTCACAATTTCACATGCAATTTCTGGGTAACTAGAGGTGCTGAATGTAAAATATCAGCTAACCCGGGCAAGGGCCCACAAGGAGAAGCAGGAGAGAAGGGACTGGATCCGCAAGTCATTTGTTCAGGGGGAAGGCTTCTGAATTTTAATGAAGTTCCAGGCCTGCAATTCAATTTTTCCAGACAAGCTGCAGATCTCAGCCGCTGATCTGACCAAGGAGATCCACAGCTCTTTAAAAACCCACTGAATTCTGGGCTGAGGTAAGTGCCACCCTCCATTCTCTTTGCAATTCATTTAAATAAATGGATATATAATTTTTTCACTCTTAAAGGAAGGAAATTGGGTTTCTCTGCTTCGTTTCTTTGCGTCATTATTCCTTGAGCCCAGCACTCCACTTGCTGCTAATCCTCTGTAATTAAAGCGCTTAGGAGATATCACTTGTGATCAAGAAAGTCCCCCGACTTCTTGCCAGGAGTTTGTGCTTTTGTTGCAAACACTGGTAGGTTCTTGGCAACATCTCCAACGACCCTCCTTCTCGCCACTGCCCTGGGAAGAGGGTCCCCACAGGTATCGACATGCACAGGCTTCTCCCCAGCTCTCAGGGTCAAGGGGACTATTTTAGGCCCAGCAACTGAGGATCTAGAAAGGCCCTGAGTTGGGGAATGCCAGCCTGTGCCCTGACTCCCTGAGAGGAGCTGAGCCCCTCACCTACCAAAGCGCTCCCTGGTAGAGACTCCACTTGGCCTCATTCATTGAAGTTTTCAGTGGCTGGCGCAGGATAGCTGTTGCTCCCAACAGCATGTATCTTGCCATCCTGCTCATTAATCATGCCAGCGCCTCCTCCTGGATGGCCTGGCGGGACTAATGGAGAGGCAGATTTGTGAGACTCACAGAGCCTCGACCCTGAACTGAACAGACTCTCCATCAATGTGTAGCAGCGCCGACTGCCTCAGCCTTCCGGGGAGCCCACGACAGGCAGCCCCACAGTGCTCACTGCTCCACCCACGGGATCACCCAGACCCCCGCCGACACGGAGCCTGAGGACCAGAAAGGCTCCTCACCGCCTGTGTCTCCACCCGCAAGCTGTCTGGTCACAGGCTCTCCTCAGACTATACGGCTCAGGAGGGCTGGGGGCCAATGTGGGATTCAATGAGGGATTCAAAGGGTCCCTCATCAGTCAGAGAAAGACTACAGGCAATGGTGAGGTGGTGGGATGTGGAGAGGGCACAGCAGTGCTTCACAGGTGTGACTTTGTTTCAGCTCCTTTGGGGAGCCTGACAATGAAGGCTCTGGACCAACACACATGTAACAGGGATCAGTCCCTGGCTAGTGTCTCGGCCCTAGTCAGTGCAATGAGAGTGTGCTGGCAAGGATAATAGTTTTCCCTACAAGGTTAGAAATGGCAGAGTAAATTAACCACCACCATCTTTCAGCTGCTTTCTATTTCTATATTTTGGTTCTTTATTCTGGTGTCTAAGTTCACAGGGTTTCAAGAATCAGCTCAATAGAAGCTGGTCATGGTGAAGTCAGATCAACCTAACCATGAACACCATGTGGCATCATTTCTGTCTCAATTCCAGCATTATCAGAATTATCTTCACCTTCCACATATATTCTTAAGTTCCTAAAACCCGTCTGGAAATGGTGCTCCAAGGCAAGCAGAGTCACGTAAGATGGGTGCATCAGAATCCACCAACCAGAGCATGGTGGGGCAAAGAGAGCAGGTGAGACCATCAGAGGGGATTTTAGACCCAAAGGGGCCATCTCCTGAGACAGAACCTCCAAACTGCAGAGCCAGGAGCACTGGCCACTCCAGCCCAGGGTCGATTTCCGTCCCAGAGGCACGCAGTGACGCTAGGACGGACCGTGATGAAGGTAAACCATGGAAATATTCATCTTGCCGTCTCTTATGGGTGACTTTCTCAGCTCAGATGAAAGAGAGAGAGAGAGGCCTGGATC